TTTATGTGTATTTATTTACTAATTAGTTCATGATATGCTTGTATGACCCTGATTGTAGGCTATCTGTTGATTTGTTGATTCTTGCCATTTCTATTTTCATAAATGACCAATCAATGCATTATTTAGTTTCATGTTTTAGTTATCTAAGTATTTTGACTTGTTATTTTTAATATCTTTTTGTCTGATATCTTAAATATATCATCATTTTAGCTATGGGTCTAAAATATACAAAGTACTTGACTAGTTCTTATAGTGTTTCGATTCGCCGTCTGAGAACATGTGGTTTTTACTAAGACCTTAGAGGATATAGTGATCTAGTCAGTTAAATGTTCATTAAGGATGTTGAGGAATTTAGATCGTCATACTGTGTCAAAATCCATTCGTTGTGAGTCACTAAACATCACATCATTCAAAAACCAAGACCACTTATTCTCGTTACGATTGTTAGCTCATGTTGCTTGTATTATGTTATTGGTGTACTTCACATAAATAATTCTCAGTTTACTTCGGTAACTCAGTTACTGTCTTTAGGATTTTTGAATATGCAGTAGGTTGTTTGATTATTTCAACTTTTCAATGATTAAATTGAACTAAAATACTGTCTAGCCAACAGGATACTGCATTTCGTTTAGCTTTCGGTACAATCTAAACCCTTTATAAATGAATTTATATAGAGAAAATGTTATCAATCATACATATTCATTTAATTATTTGGTGTTTAAATCATAAAACAATAGTCTTGTGCGATATTGAAACCTCATTTAAAACATACTCGTAAAACTGTGTGTTAAACACAGTAGTGCACAATTAATATTGTAAATCTCAGTCACAATATGACGATTAGTTGTTTGAAGACACTTGTATTTTATCTAGGTTATAGGATTATGTTAAATTTAGAAGTAAATATGTGTGTAGCAGAATATTAACACTGTACTATGTAGTAAGTGGTAGAAAATAGAAATAATATTTTTTATCCACCTCAAGGCTTCGTAAGTGAAACCTTAGGCAACCAACATCAATGTTTCTGTTATTATACAAATCTTATCGAGCAAGAAGTAACTTCTAGATGATTAAAGATATGGTTACTCTAAAGATTGTAATCTTATAGTATAGAATTGCACTAACTATCCATCTTTTATTGTCCATTGTTAATTTTGTTATCTGAAGAACGGTAATTATATTTTAGCCACTTGTTTTAAGTTGCTTCCGTAAATGTATTCTTAGAACTAATTAAGCAAATCATGTAAACTACAAAAACGAATGATTTCGAATTTTTGTTCAGTATCGTGATGACATTTTTCAAATCATAAAGTAACATTGATGTTCAATTAGTATTAGGGTGAAAAAATCGTTGATAATTATTTCGTCCTGAACAATTGTTATTGTCTATCAATTTTATTTCAAACACAAACGAATAATCATTGTTAATTTAGACCTGTATTCTATAATTATTTATTTTCTGATGAGTTAAATAACACTCTAATTGTAATATCTTAGCTAAGTATTTCATAGTAATGATAATTTTTTTATTCATCTACTTTAAACAATCCTCGTATGGGACTCCTAAGCAATGCGCATCCACAACCCTATCAGGGATCAAACCCAGAACCGTCAGATCTCACCAAGCCCTTAACCTTGCAGCCAGTACTCCAGCAAACAGTGGTTTATATGCCTGACATCAACCGATTCGCGATATTACCTAACCATCGTCCATTGTTTTCAGGGAATATCTGCCTCACTTCTGACACAGCTGGACTTTACTGGTCGCAAATTCTCACAAGAACTCTTAGAAATATCTCCTAAAATTAATCACTAATGTAAATGTCATAATTTTCAGAATGTAGAGGGTTATTGAATATTTTTGCGATTGTGAATTGATTACAGTTAGAAATATAGACTATGGGACAACAGCTCACTAATCTAAAGATAAAGCACTCGCCACGATATCTAAAGGTCTTGGGTTCAATCCTCCGTGTGATCGTGATTGCATACTCTTGAGTCCTATACTGGAACTGTGTCAATGCTTCTTGGGTTTCAATGATTAGTTGACATTTGTCAGTTTCTTATCTCATTGGCACTCTAAAGCCCCCCCCCTATTCTGTAAACCTTCATCTTAGACTTATGTAGTACAAAGCCATGGAACACGTACGAATCATTCCTAGCAGTTTTAGGGATTTATGTTAATTAGTTAAGGCGTTAGTTTTCGACTATGTATATTGTCTTTTTGATTTCTTGCTGTAAGTATTATTATTAATTCTGATACTTTTTGTATCAAGCTTTTGTCTGCTGACCTTTGTGCACTGGCATCCAATCAGGCAAAAATCACTTTAATCTATTCACTCCCGAATGACAAAAACAATACATCTATAACACTAAATAGAACAGGTCCAAGTAAAATTCCATTGGATTTAGATTACTGTGATAATCATGATAGTGACGTGATTCCTCACTTCAATAAATACTCAAATCAAACTATACCAAACTCTGGTGATTTCAGAAATGATAAACATGAAAATGATTTAGATCAGAAATCGATTGACAGTAAATCATATAATAAAGAGTCTATCAATTTGTTTCCAACAAGGGATGATCATTGTGAATCGTTTCGACCGATCCCAAATCCACGAAGTGTATATAGTAACGATAGTAACCGATCGTCTTCTAGATCTCCACATAAAGGTAAGTGTATACATTAAAAAGAATTTAATATAAACGATACTTATATTTATGGATATGTGCAATATATATTATCAATTGTGATCATAGTTATGCCTAATTCGGTCAATTAGAAAGCGGTAACAGATGGTTACTTTATTGTCATTCACTTAGTGAACAGACAAATCATCCAATGTTTATTGATATCTCAGCATTCCATTCATAATTAATTCTTATACCTCATGAAACATAAAATTTTTGAACTTTCAAAAGTTCATAGGAAATGACTAAGTCACTGTTGAGTGTTGTTGGAAGTACTGCACTAAGCAGTTAAGATACAATTTGTTTAAAAACCACCCATTACTAAGAAAGAATAATTTTATGATAGTCAACTTTAAGGATTTTTCAATGTTTCTACAATGTGTATGACATGTAAGTTAACTTGCTCAATATAAATCTTTGTCATATTTTATCTATAAAGATTTAGTTCCCTTGTTCAATTAAGTTTAAGTTAGCTTAACTTATACACTTCCACTTAATGCTTTCCTCAAAGTACAATAGTGGCTGGTGTAGGAATATGTTATTAAAAAGCCAAGTTGCAAACTTAGACTTGAGATCAGTTTACGAAGTCAGATATTATTGGACTGAGCCATGTAGGAAAGCGCTGACTTCCAGGTTGGATTTAACGTGTTAATTCTGATTAGTGGTCGGAGACCTTTGATGACGTACTTTCAAAATCATTCTTAACAACTTACGTACATTCATTTTTTTACGTTTCTGTTGACATTAAATTTCAGTACTATTTTAAACTTTAAGTGCATGTACATTTGTGCCAGACTCCACTTTTCTTACTGACTGCCTAACTAACTTATAGTCCATATGATCATGCACATGAAAATATTTTATTAAAGCCTATTTTACTTTAAACACTTAGCAAAGTACGTCCTTCTTTGTTTTATTTTTATTACCCAGCGGACGATCATCAAAATAAAAACAAAACTAAGTCAATTGAATGGGAAGATGTTGATACTAATGAGGATGATGAGGAATCTAGACAAAATACACAACCTCCTACTAAATCAACAAGTTCCATAAAAATAAAATCAAATGATAAATCACTAAGTATACAATCTAATCCTAACTTACAATATGGTGAAGTTGGTGTTGCTCTACTACGAAATTCCAAATTATCGGTGTGTCGCGTTTTCTTTTTGCTTAAAATTATATAGCTTCTTGATGATGATTATCATCGTGATTATTTACTTGGTAATTTATTAGTTAATGTCTTTTTTTTACAAACGACCGTAATTAATGAAGTTTGCATTATTGTAAGTTAACTTTGGGTAGGATGTTAATTTTATTGCATAATTTAACATATACTAGAATTGTGAATTAGACTATATAATGTGAATAAACAGAAAACAGCCATTAAGTCATACAACAAAGCAAATTGATTCAATCGCTTAACCATTACAGTTTCAATCTATTAATAAGATTAGCATTTTTTGCTTATCTGTTACTGTACTTATTAAATTATTGTTACGAACAATTATATTATCAGCTTTCATCGCAAAAATTCCAGTATACGTTCGCCACTGCACAGCATTGGGAATGGTTTTGTTGAACCAATCTTTCTTGTTTTACAGTCAAAATTCTAGTACCTAGCTTGTTTATAATGCTAATTACCTAAATGTGCTTCAGGGGTCTTACGACTTCTGTCAGACTTTCAAGAATAATTACTTTCTCGTAACTCGGGTTTTTTTCTTAGATTTCGGTATATTTATTGAAATCTTACTATTCCATACTATATAGTATCATAATCATCTCTATAATTTTTGTTTTGCGTATTTGTCGGTTACCAAAATATTATCTCAGAGTCTTCACATCTTGTTAAGAAAAGGATAGCACATGAAACTTCAAATATTCTGTCTTGAAAACTATTATACCGCTTTAAAAGTTTTGATATTCAGATAATTTAAATGTTATCTTTTCGAAGTATTTTATACATACACAGTGATAGATTTATTTAATTGTTGATGGTTTGTGTTAACATTCTTAGAATCTGTTATAAATTTAGAACCATCATAGTACTTGTTATTATTATTATTATTATTATTATTATTAAATATTTGTGTAATTTCTTCCTTTGTATATCACATTGATTTATGGTGTTAGGTTGACAAATGAGAATATAGTGTTTTTGTCATTATCCAAACACCATCCTTTAAATCGAGGTAATCATGTGGCTTCCACGTAAAATAATAATGTTTCATTTTCCAAGAAAGAAAAAGTATTCAAAGAAGATAAATCTATTTTCAACTACATATTTTGACTGGTTAAATATATAGTCTGCTCATGAGATATATTACATTTACTTAATTATTCTATAGTTACATAATCAAGCTTTTTATTCATTGGGTTCATTAAGAAATTCATTAGATAATACTGTAAAGTAGATGAATGATTTTAAAAAAATAGTTTCATTCTATCTTGCAATGATTTTTTTTAGAATTCATTATAGGTTTTCAATTTTGACCATATAAACAATTGGAATACTAAATAATTAACGAAATAATATAGTTACATTTAAAAGATGAAACATATATTTAATTTTTTAGTTTTTTTATATTTCTATGAATTATATTCATACGGTTCAATGTATGTAACAGTTTAAATAGAATTTTGATTACATTACTGCCATATCATGCTTTATCATATTGTTGTTGAAATACAGATTACAAGTTTCACTGTCTTTAAGAATCCAATGAAAATTTTCATTTTCTTAGTAAATTTTCAATTTATACCCGTGCATAGTTTATTTAATACTGGCGAGTAAAGAAGGCTTCAAGGCAATCTAATCGGATTTTATATATTCAAGCCAGTGACTTTAGCATCAACAACAATATATATACTATTGTAAATTCAAATGTAATTCAAGCTGCTTTTTCAATTTCATTTATTATTTCGTTTTTACCGGCTATGTATTGATGCAGTAAGTAAGAACAGATCACTGATTTCTATCAGGACATCAATCAGTAACAAGATACTAATATTCGTTTCTAGTTGATGTACGTTTACAATTCCCCCAAATGCCCTGATATGGACGAGAGTGGGGAGGGCCCGCCCTCCCTCTCGAAATGCTCTCACACAGCCACGTGTATACAGCCTCTGCCAGGGAAGTCCTACTCACTGCCTTCTCGTGGCTGGAGTGTTGTTTACGAAAATGAGAGGACGAAAAACGAATGTCCGGCACTTTAGCCGGATTCCAAACCAATGGTGCACATAGGCTCTAGTATCCTGCGGGAAGAAATGGCGTATGAACCAAACGTTGGTCACCGGCTACCATGGGACTGCATCTCCTCACGATGCTCCACTGCCTTGTGGGTCAGATCTTAAAGTCAAAGGTTTGGGGTGTAGCCCCCCTAAGAAAATCACTTGCTTCGGTCTGGGCACCCGAGCAGTATCCCAGCCCTCACACAAATCGAACGATTTATGTGGCGCATATCTATTTGGTACCTTCTTGTACCAATGTTTATGCGTTTAAATAAAATAATAATAAAATAACGTTTACAATGCAAAATAGGGATAACTTATTGCATTTTATCCGTTTTTCTCTACAATTAACTTATTTTTCGGAAACAATTTCCTGGTTAATGTTTCTTGTACCTCTTCTGCGTTCATAGACTTCAGATCTTAATTTGTTCTACACGCTAAGTCAACCAAAATTAGATATTCATGAAGTTAAACGTCTTCTTAATGAAGTGAGTATTTTATTTGCAATATTTAATATCAGTACCATTTAATGTTAAACGAGATTTTCGATTGATCATTGATGATTCACAAATTATAACAATAAAAATTTTATATCCAATGTTTCAAGTGATGATGTAGATATTTATGTTCTATCTTTATGCCAATAAAAAATCACAACTATTTAACTATTCATTGGTGGTAAATTAACCATTATTTATGCTGGTAGATTTTCATCAATATGATCCAGTCTTATGTATGATGAATAATTTAATCAGAAAAAAAATTAAAATTCACATTGGCATACATTTTAACATAATCAAGTATGTTTTAGCTAATCTTTTGTTTAATGTTAAATTGGAGTACGGGTTTTAGGGTTTAAATTCAAGTAGAAATGGACAAGCAACAGTGTATATTCTCTTCATCACTTATTATATTTTGGTTTTAAGTATTTCTAAAATGTATTGTAACAATTTTTAAATGTCGGTTTATGAATTAGAAGTCTTATATCTTCTTGTTGTTGATATTCAGTAGAGAATTAATCATTCTCTGTTGATGTACAAACTTCTTCAATAAATACATGTAATAGATGTCTGCATTTACTAGTTCATTATGTAGTGTCTAAAAGTAGAATCCAGGAAGTGTGCTTCAAGACTCGTTAATCGATTGCATCTAAATCCTACTGCCGATATTTCTCACTCTGACTCCAGCTTCATTCCCTATCACTTCAAATGTGGGAGTCTCATTCACTAGACTAAATCCACAACTAATCAAAAAATTATAAAAAGTGTCATTCATTTGAGGTTTCTATTTCTTGTCGTGAATATTTGGAGCTGAGTTTATTATTCTCTATTGGCAATATCAATATTTATTTACACAAACTTTTTCATTATATTTTATCGAGGACTGACCTTAGTTTAACAGCCATGATAAACCACGAAGCATTTGATGGTTGTTTCTTCCCGAATATGGGACTTCTTAGTTGTGCACATCCACGACCCAACCGGGGATCGAAATTAGAACTTGTGGCGAGCACTTAACCTTAAAACCACTGACTCAGCACCTAATGTTTAATCTGTTTCAATTTAGCAATTCACGATATTGTGCGATTCTTATTGATTGTCCATTCATGAGACTTGTCTCATACACAACACGGTTAAACTTTTAACTGAGCACAGCTTCACACCAGTACTCAGAGAATTACCCTCAGAAGTTCGTCACTAGTAATCATAAGGTGATACTTCATTGTGATCCTAAGGTGAATTACTAATGTGTAGCTTATTTGTTAATTACAGTTGTGATCCAAACATTATTTTTATGATAGGTTATGATACTGTCATCCAGATAATGAAACGAAATTAAATTTTGATGTCTTCAAACATGTGACCCAATCACTGAACGTTGATTGGTTAAATCACTAATTCTGTAGAATATTATTGCCAATCTAGAATTTAATATAAATATTAATGATATACTGAAAGTATGTTATTAAATATATATACAGTCCAAATTAATTAAAGTTCGCAAATTGACTTTAAGTCTCCGGGTTCAGAAATAAATGCCAGTGAATCCTTCTATAAAGGATGTGTTGTAAGTATACAAATAGTTGCTATGATTACTTACTTCAATATAAAGACTTTGTTTTTGCTTATTTTATAAAAAAGAAAGCTATTAAAATGAAGTTTATGTGCAGTAAATATCAAACAGTAGAAACCGTTCTTAGATTTGTTTGTAAGTCAGTCTGTAGGTATTTAATAAAAGCAGATAATAATCGAAGTTATCTTTAAATAGACAAGGGTCACAAAAAATACTACCAATTCAATCAAGTTCAACGTATCATTATTCATATTTTAGGCGCTCACTTCTATTTGAAGACTGTAAGACAATTACTTTTACTGTGTTTTTTTCTTACTGATTTCTGCTAATAATCAATTTGACCATTCTTTTTTATCATATTGTCCAAAGATGATATGCTTCTTTTTTTTAATGTACATATTTCTCTTTACTTTTAGATCTTTCTTAAGTTCATTTTCTTAGTAAATGACATCTACGTTTATTTAACGTAAAGCGTACGATAGACTCATTAAGAAAATATTTTTTATTTACCTACCTTACGCAAGAGGTCGTTTATTACGGTACAGTAACTACTTTTAAATCAAGCGAATTAATGATAAAACTTGGTGGAAAATATCCAATTGATTAGAATAACGGTTTGAAACTCCTAGTCATTTTGTACTCAAGTAAAATTAACTTCACTTTTTCTTCTATTGAAAGAAGTTGGACTCAACATTAGACAAAGTCTGTTATTTGGGAATTTCAGTGCTCAACAAATATTACCCTATGTTTATGGTAATAATTTGGCCATTAAGTTAAATATGTAGAAATATTGTTATATACCTCTTCCTTTATTTATTTCTGTGTTATATCTTTGTTTATAACTTTGCAATCCATTAGACTTAAGATATGCTGTTTATTTGACTTTCGAAATATACTGATAGGCTTGAGTTATTTCCTTAAATAATATTGTTTAGTGGTTTACTTTATTCCTATGTAACTTCTGAAACATATCGTAATACATAATACTCAATTGATGCATTTAATATATCATCCTACATTTTGTCTTTGTCGAATTAACTAACTTCTTTGTTCATCAACATTTTTTTCATTCAATAAAATAGGGTGCAAATCCAAATTGCATTAATGCTGCTAAAGAAACACCATTGATTTGTGCTGTACGTCATGGCTTCGTTGAAGCGATATCTGTACTAAAAGAAAATGGTGCACAGGTTAATGCTACCGGAACATCGTAAGCTGAATAATTTATATGTACTTCGTTTAAGTTTATTGCAATCTACCGATATGTCCTTACTCTTTAATCTTGACGATCTTTAATCGTAACGTAGGGACACACACAAGAACCCTTTTTCGTATTTGTCATCCATTGACAAAAATCAATCTCACAAGGTGAGATGAATGGTTACTGACCAATTAATTGCCCATTATTACAACACCCCTGCACTACGTCTAGATAGCTCAATATTACAGTAATATTATCCACGTGTAATAAGAATATCGATTGAAAATATTCTAGTGTTTCCATAGATCATCGGAGTTAATAACTGATATTAATACCTAATTATTTTTCGATTAACACTAACTTTCCGAATAAACATTGGCTACCTATCAATAATCCGATTGAAAAATTCATCTAATGGATCGCTCATGGGAATATATTGTCATAGAGATTAAACTGAGTAGTTAAGTTTAGTTTGGCGTCTACAATAATAATCTTGACGGCTACCATAATTCTCTTGGCTTCGTTACTCTGTTGTTAACACATGACTCGTGTCACTATAGACATGCATATGCTGTTTCACAATACTACTACTGTTAAAAACATTAGTCATTACAATATACGCCCTTACATTAACTACAAATGCTTTCATTTTGACATTTATTATGTTGTGTGTCTGTATTCTCTCGTTGTTTGTCTGTCTAACATTCAAATTATTAGTGGCTATATTTCTATTTTTGTCAATCGATAAAGAGAGTCAGCTTCTAACCATGTATAAATATTCCCTTAAAATTGTCTAAATCGTTTTTCTATACCTGGAATTTCATTTTCCTAGTGAAATATGACATGATTTATGATAATTACTGAATAAAAGATTACTTAGAAACAAAATGAACTGCGTTTAAAAATACCATTACTTATTACTTACGCCTGTTACTCCTCGTGAAGGAGCATAGGCCGCTCACCAGCATTCTCCATCCAACCCTGTCCTGGGCAGTCCTTTCCAGCTCCTTCCAGTTCCTATTCATCCTTTTCATATATTCTTCTATTTCTCGAAGTAACGTGTTCCTTGGTCTTCCTCTTTTCCGTTTCCTTTCAGAATTCCAAGTTAGTGCTTGCCTCGTGATGCAGTTTGGTGATTTCCACAATGTATGTCCTACCCAGCTCCAGTGTCTTTTCCTGGTTTTCTCTTCAGCTGAAATCGGGTTTGTTCTGTCACAGCAGGTTGTTGTTGATGTTTTCCGGCCAACGGATATTGAGTATCTCGCGTGGGCGTTTGGAAATACTTGTACCTTTTTGATGATGGTTGTTGTAGTTCTCCAAGTTTCAGCTGCATACAGTGAAACCGTCTTGACGTTCGTATTGAAGATTCTCACTTTGATACTGGTTGACAGTTGTTTCGAGTCCCATATGTTCTTCGACTGTAGGAATGCGGCCCTTGCTTTGCCAATTTTCGCCTTCACGTCTGCACCTGAACCTCATTGTTCATCGATGATGCTTCTAAGGTATGTGAAGGATTCTACATCTTCCAGAGTTTCGCCATCAAGAGTGATTGGATTGCTGTTCTCCGTGTTGTATCTGAGGACCTTGGTTTTCCCTTTGTGTATGCTGAGGCCTACTGATGCATAAACTGCTGCTACACTGGCTGTTTTTATCTGCATCTGTTCGTGTGTATGCGATAGGAGGGTTAGGTCATCTGCGAAGTCCGAATCGTCTAATTGATTCTGAGCTGCCCACTATATGCCGTGTTTTCCCTCAGATGTCGAGGTCTTCATAATCCAGTCGACCACCAGAAGAAAGAGGAAGGGAGAGAGTAAACAGCCTTGTCTGACTCCGGTCCTTACTTGGAATGCATCTGTCAGCTATCCTCCATGCACTACTTTGCACTGTAGTCCGTCGTATGAGTTCCGTATAATGTTGACAGTCCTTTCAGAAACTCCATAGTGTCGAAGAAATTTCCATAATGTTCTCCTATCTACACTGTCAAATGCCTTTTCATAATCAATGAATTTGATGTACAGTGACGAGTTCCACTCAGCTGATTGTTCGACGATGATCCGTAGTGTCTCAGTTCGGTCTGTGCACGACCAATCCTTACGGAATCCAGCTTGTTGATCTCGAAGTTGGGCATCTACTGAGTGTTTCATCCGCTTCAGCAACACTCTGTTAAGCAACACATGACTAGAATTTATATTTACAGAAATAATTTGTTCTCACTTGGATCCCCCCTCAATAACTCTTATTTATTTTAATGTTAGGGCTAGTGTCACAGTCATTCTTTTTATATTACACCATCTTTTCGGTCTCTATTTCATTTTTTTATTATCACTATGTGTTTGACTTTTTATGTAATGATAAATGTTTTACTAAGTGCTTTATTAATAAGATAGAGATATTGGGATATGAGTGTTGTCTTCATTGTGATGCAAGTAAATCTTATTATAGGCGCTATATTTGTGTGATCCGTAAATTTCATTCTATAAAGTAATTGAATCGAAGAAGAGTAATATTTCACTTGAAATAAATGTCGACAAAATCTAGTAGTTTATTTAGATTATCTCATGATAAGTCTAAAACACCGTTCTGGGATAAATATTAAGGACAACAGTAACATTGTTTTGTGTTGAGAGAAACACACTAGACCTAGTTAGTATCACTACTGATACTTTACTATAAGAAAATGGTAACACGTAAAGTTATGTAATAAGGACACATGAATAGAGAGTTTACAATTGATTTCTTTATTTTGCCTTTCATAATTATTTGTCTTCTCAAGAAAGAAATATTCCCATAAAAATTGAATTTTTATTCCAAAACGGAAATCATATCCTCTATTCGTTCTTTCGAAGTTTGCTGTCCGGTTTATTTAGTTTCTTTTTCATTGCATATATCCCACACCGTAAACAATCACTGTCTTGCAGATGACTGTTAGTTGTTTTTTATAATTAGAAATGTTTGCTGCTTAAAGCGTTCCAATCTAAGCATAATATGTTTGATATTGTTAATTATTGCATCTAGAACATGGTCATTTGTACTCGTGCCATTGACAATTACTTGTCAGAGTAAATGAAATCATGAATCGCATTTGACACTGTTTTTGACGCTAATATAAGTGCGGTTAGTACTAAATAATATCTATATTCATAACAAGTGTGAGTCAGTTCAGCTACTGCTGTAGAGCTAGTTACATTAGGTACCCAATAAATTCATCATCATATCACCGAATACTATCCGGCCTGATTGAGCAAAGGGCAGTTAAAGCCGATTAGGATTTATATCCTTGATTGATATAGGCCGACAAGTTAACTTGAATAGAACTTTCCAAGTCATCTACCGAAATCTTACTCAGCTTTAATCTTTTTTCTCACGTAACTACTATTAAGTTTTTTGCAGAGATTGTTGAATTTTCTTTTTTACATCATGGACTAATCTTGGTCATTTTTCTAAATTATATATATATATATATATATATCCACAGTGAAAAACTAATTAAAAGAAAATACTTCTTTGCTTTATTCCTCTTTTTATTAAATATCTGAGTGGGAATTTTCACAATAATAAGATCAAAGTGACACATTTAACTAAAGAATTGGTAAATACAGTAACACTGTACTCGCTATTAGTATTATTCCATTAACCTATCTCTCTTTGAAATGTCAGATTAGGCAACACTGCATTACATGAAGCAGTTCTGCGTGGCATTGACGGATTAGAATTGGCAAAAGAATTATTAAGGTAAGTTGATTGCACATGAAATTTTGATGTCATTATTTTTTGTTCAGTAAGCTGTCCAGTGCGAATATCTAGCTTAATGAGATAAAGTTGAATAAGCGTATTCTCATTATGATGAGAGTCAGACACTATTTTTAATTCATGAAGTGAGATTAGAGCATACACAGTATTAAGATCTTATCGCTCAATCGGGTAGACCATCGGTCTGAATCTTCGGAAACTGCTGGCCAAGATCCATAGTTTATTTGTAATTTCTATACATCAGGATCGGTCTTTTAACTAAAAATATCTAAAACAATCAGGTTATTAATTATATTCAAATGTCCTAACAATGCTTCTAACTAGCATTTTTTGAAGATCGTAATTACAGGGATTTGGATTATCATGATGTATCTACCTACTAAGCTAGTTTATAACCAACTGACAATAAAAACCCTTCGACTACTCTTAACTCATGATTTAAAAATATCAGTATGAATTTTTGTCCCTCTCCAACGACCCCTATGATTCGGAGATGGTTTTTGTTATGTGAAAAAAGTCATGTTTTATTCAAATCGTTAGTTTTAACAACTTGGTTTGTCCAAAGGACGTTTTACATTATTGTTAGCCGGGAATCACTGCAAAAAAATGAAAAGTTTGGTAAATTCTTCTGTTTTAATGCTGAACTTCACATCAGTGCAAATTCTTCGATCCCCCATCAAAATTAAATCTCAATTCGACTGTTCTGAGTTTAATGTCTGATATTTCCTATTATCGGATGATTTCCGATTACTCCTAGAAGGTCTAGTGTCAAGCTATGTCTGAATGGGCCAACCCATTTGTAAATGACAAAAAGCCTTTGCTGAATACGATAGAACAAATTTTTTAAAAAGATCTTATTTCAAATAAGTTTTCATTTCCATATTTAGTTCTCATTAGATCTGGCCATTACTTATGTAGTTTTTTCTCGATTTAGTTACTGCAGATCCTTTTCCCCATCGTATTTGTTATTATCATCTTTCTTTCCCATTTTCTATATAGATGTGGTGCAAATATGAAAATAGAAAATAATCGTAAAGAAACACCACATTCACTAGCGTTGCATTCGAATTGTGAACCGTTAATACGGCTGTTCGCTTTACATTTAGGTCAGAAACAATTGAAAGAACTCACTGATTGATACTCCAGGTGAAGTTGACTTGGAATTGAACAATCGTCTCGATATAGTATAATCAATAGCATAAATACATAGACTATCCGTTTCGTGTTTATGTTTATGCTACCCAGTGTTTTATTACTTATTTCTCAAAAGTAACCCAACCCACATATCTCTATTACAATGAGATACATATCATTGTGACTAGTTTTTAACTTACATAAATTTTCTTGTTCAGAAGTTCATTACATAATCTTAGCAGAAAAATCGCATATATATTGTATGATTACACTTATTCGAGGGATAAATTTAATCTACACCTAGCTCACTATTTGATATAGGATCTCATCGTTGTTAATGGCAATGATATTCTATTATGAATAATATTAATAAAACCATTCAAGAAGACGTTTTTTTCTGGATAAAGCTTTTATATTCACGAGTATTGGTCTTTTTCAGTTTAATAGTATAGAGCAAACGACAAGTGATAATTGAAAATCTCACTACTTCAGTAACTACCTAAGATCTAGAACATTATGGCATACATAGAAGACACAAAATAAAACTGTCAATCGCTTAAACAATTTCTATACGATCGCCAAAACGAGTCCTTTTGTTGATCATGTGCTATAACACACTTTTTGTGACAGATAGATCTAAATAAATGAGGGATTATTTTGTCTTCCCAAAACAGATTTATTTGGGTTTTGTACATAATGATCATATGTGATAGCCACGATGTCAGTCAGTTAATTGACATTTTGTTTAAATTAATCGATTACTATTACATAAAAGCATACTGTGACTAAAATGTAGCTTAGATAAATGGTTATTGTTGAAGGTTCCTGGCTAAATAAGCACTTTATGGAAATTAGTACGTAATCGTAGCAAAGCGACGGTTATCTGACCATCGAAGTTAAAATTACTGTCGTGATTTCAATGCCTACCTCAAAGTATTTGACGATGAACTATCATCAATAGGAAAAAGCTCATCTAACTTCGTTAAGCATAAAATCGTTAATACACTAGACCATACATCGAATCCTTCACATATTTTTGGGATTACTCACTATTACCAAAATAGTTCCAGTTTTGATGCCAACCGATAACTCGCAAGACAGTACAAAGTCATTGTATGTTAAATCTATTACCTATCATAAAGTTCTGTAGAATAATCGTTTAGCTCTTTTGCTTTCAACTCAAGATCTGAAATAAATATACTGTTAAGTATTAAGACAGGAACAATAATAGGTATTTGTCCAATGTGCTTTTCAAAGTACTTTAATAAAATTTACTAAAAACTCAAATATGAAAGTTCAAAATAATTCAGCGAGTCGATTGCTTCGATGCAATCTAACATCAGAGCAGTGATTCGTTTCTAATAATGACGCATTTTACACAACTGACAAATTGATGGAAAGGAATGGATGAAAAACTTAGCTATGTTCCAAAATTATTCGTTCCTGTCTTATATTTTTAATCCAAGTATCTGATAAGACTGCAGTAATATAGTTTTCATTATGATAATGAAGAAATATCGACTAACTCCTTCCAAGATGCATCGCACTGCTTCCTCGTCCCTCATATATATATATATATACATTAAAGTCTTATAGAAAGTAGAGAACATAATCGCCAAAACGGCTTTGATAGCTGGATATAATTGGCCAACATATTGCTTCAAAATAGAACATAGTAGAGTTGCGTCTTTGTAGGATTGCATTGGAGTAAAGATGATCACTAAGTTAAGATAAATTGACCAAGATTTCCATCATTTTGTAGTTCCTTGATATTATAAAAACTCCTGAGAGCGGTACCAGCTAACGCATGATTATGCTAAAGAAGACGATACATTTAGCTACAATACAGGTTTGGCTATTGTATTTTTTCGATCATCCCTTCAATATTTTTACATGCTAACTACATTAAACCACTGTTATTTTGTAATTGACCAAATCAAGGCTATCGAAATCCATGCGTAATCCATTACACGTACCCTAAAATAAATTAAACACTGAATTTTGCCATCTGATCTTCATTTTATCACTATATCAAAAAAGTGGGACCTCGTTTCGTGATAAACTGTTTTTATTTCCTTCGATGAACAGTGATGCACAACTGGAACGTATGTTTCTCATTGATATCAACGATAATGCTTCATTAACATATCTGGAGTAGGACTAATAATTGAATGTTTAGGCACGATCTCAAGATTAGCCAAAACAATATTTCAAGAAATGAAAAAATAGATTTGTCATGACTAATCTATCAATTTGGACAACTGTTGAAACAGCATTACAAAGGTTCAATACAGCCTTCCTTCGAGATACTGACAAATTCAATGAATTCGAGATAATTCTCAACAACAGGTCCCAAGCCTTACAACATCTACTGAAAGAAGAAACTACTATGGATGACAACTGGAAAGGTATCAAAGAAGCATTAACTTCAACGTGTCAAGAGGTTCTGGGCCTAAAGAAGCACCATCATAAGGAATGGATCTCTATAGAAACACTGGATAGGATCAAAGAATGGAAGAACAAGAAGACAGCAATTAACAATAGCCGAACATGAGCAGAGAAAGTCCAAGCACAAGCTGAGTACATAGAAGCAAACAAGCAAGTGAAGAGGAGTATTAGAGCCGACAAGCAGAAATACGTGGAAGAACTAGCAACGAAGGCGGAAAAAGCCGCAAGAGAAGGAACTTTGAAACAGATTTATGATACAACGAAGAAACTGGCAGGGAAATATGGTAAACCAGAGAGAACTTTCAAGGACAAGGGAGAAAGCAAGCCAATCACTGAGATCTACGAACAGATGAACCCATGGGTAGAACACTTTGACGAACTCTTGAATAGACCAGCTCCATTGAATCTATCGGATATCGAAGCAGCACCTATAGAACTTCCTACAGATGTAACTCCACCAACGATCAAAGAAATTAGCATGGCCATCAGACAAATCAAATGTGAGAAAGCAGCAGGTTCAGACAATATACCACCTGAAGCACTGAATTCAGACACAGTAGTAACTGCGGACATGCTCCACGTTCTATTCGGAAAGATAGGAGGGGAAGAACAAGTGCTACTGACAGACTGGAAAGAAGGATACCCCACCAAGATACCAAAAAAGGAGATCTGAGCAAATACGAGAACCACAGAGGCATCACACTGCTATCAGTACCAGGAAAGATTTTCAACCGATTGTTGCTGAACCGGATGAAGGATTCAGTAGACGCCCAACTTCGAGATCAACAGGCTGGGTTACGTGATGAAAGGTCGTGCACAGATCAAATCGTGACACTACGGATCACCGTCGAACAATCAATTTAATGGAACTAGTCACTGTACATCAACTTCCCTGACTATGAGAAAGCGTTTGATATAGTGAATAGGGGAACTTTATTGGACCTTCCTCGACAATATGATGTACCTGAGATCTTCAATATCATGGAATTCATACGACGGACAACATTGCAGAGTGGTGCATGGAGGACAGCTGACAGACGCTTTCCGAGTGAGGACCGGTGTCAGACAAGGCTGCTTACTCTCACCCCCCCCCTTTCCTCTGGTGATTGACTGAGTTATGAAGACCTCCACATCTGACGGGAAGCATGTAATACAATGGATAGATTGGATGCAGCTAGACGATTTGGACTTCGCAGATGATCTGGCCCTTCTATCTCATACACACGAACAAATGCACATGAAGACAACCAGTGGGCATCAACATACACAAAGGAAAAAGCAAGATCCTCGTACACAACACGGACAACACCAGCCTAACCACGTTCATGGAGAAGTTCTGAAATAGGTGCAAACTTTCATATATATGGGCAGCATCGTCAATGAACAAGGAAGATCTGATGCAGGCGTAAAGGCGAGGATTGGCAAAGCAGGGTCAGCATTCCTACGGTTGAAGGACATATGGAACTCAAAACAACTGTCAACCAATATCAAAGTCAGAATCTTCAATACGAACGTCAAGACGGTTTCAATGTATGCAGCTGAAACTTGGAGAACTACAACAACCATCATCAAAAAGGTACAAGTACCTTATACCTTTACGTTATAGTTTCATGATGTGATTATTAAAGTGGGAACGCAATGTGATGTAAACTATCACTAAATAATGTAGTAAAATTCGTAAACAACTAATTATAGACTGAATTCGTTATTCCACAAGAGCAAATGCAAACACATTTCATTATTAATACTCATGAAGCACCTATAAGCATTAAATATTTAAAGATACGTCCACAAACTTAAGATTTACTAACGAATATTTTGTATTTAGGGACCCAAACACTACATGTATTAAATTGACCTGAAGTTATCCAAACTAATAATAAAAAAGCTTGCTGAATATATGTCTGAAATAAATACTCTTAGTTAAAATACACTGAGATTTCCATAAATTAACGACAAACAATCGTACTGGGCAACATAAAACCAGTCAGTAACAACGTAGGACTTCGTACGTACGTACATCAGTTCGAGTTGCCACACCACATTAGCACAGAGATGCAGTGGTCAATTCAAATCCCGTAGTGGTAGATGTAGTAAAATTATAAGTTGTAATCAGAAAAATTAGGGTTTGAAGATGTTACTCAAGGACTATAATCCAGTGAAATAAATTTCGAAAGAGAAAGAAGAAAGGAACATGAAGAATTCAGATTAGAATTTGGGAGAACACAAAGAGTGGATGCACCTGCAAACGATTTTGAGCCATGTCATTCAGGGTCTCTAACCATCGGTTGCTATCATCTCGCGGTCCCCAACCAGGTAGTCTACACCTACCAACATGACTCAGTCCAATTGTCAGTGACTTCATGGACTTGTGCCATGTTTTGATCTAGCCGCCCCTAGCTTTCTTCCAATCTACTCCTATACAACAATACATCGCACATCGAGGCAGTCGGTCGTTGGGCATACGTAACACGTGTCCCAGCCATCTCAACTGATGAAGTTTCACTACGTCATCAATTGATTTGCCATCCTTACCTAGTACCCGTTTTCTAACAACTGCGTTACTTACTCGATGGTCCCAGGATATACGAGCAATATTTCGAAGACACCTATGATCGAATACTAGTAGCCTACGAATATCCTCTACTCTTACCGGCCATGTTTCACTGCCATAAAGTAGGACGGAACCAACTGCTGCGCAGTAAACACGTCCCTTGGTTGATAGACGGATATCTCGCCTATGCCATAAATGACGCAAGTTGGTAAAAGCTAGTCGAGCCTTCTGTATCCGTGCTGAGATTTCGTCACACACCAGACCACAAGGGCTTATGAGACTTCCAAGATAAGTGAAGCGGTCGACACGCTCAATTACTTGACTCCCTATCATTAGTTCGGGTGTCGATGTAACCCAATCCTGAAGCAAGATTTTGCATTTCGAGGGGGAGAACCGCGTATCGAACATGCTTGCATTGTTGCTTAGAGTAATCAGAAGACTCTGCATTTTGTCAGGGTCTTCACACAACACCAGGATCCATCAAAAGATGAAAATAACAGAATTATCGACATCCACCAGACGGAAGGACAATTGGTTTCGTATCTCATATAGTCTGGTTTCTCAAAGGTATATATATAATAGTTATATCAGAATAGCATGGATCCATTTTGTTTCGTTTCGTTCTCGCCAGCTACATGCATCCTGCAATATTTAAAGGTTGCTATGACCAAAATCAATACAGTATAGCAATAATATGAAAAAAATTAAGAGACAAGGATATTGTAAATATATATCTTATATGAAAGAATATTTTACAAGATTGATAGTAACCTGAGATGAAAAGGCTAGAAACAAGTGGTTACGCAATAGACAGATGCTGATAATAAGGATAAAATCAACAAATATCTGCTTGCTAAAATAAGGCTAACAATGTAGAAGACATTCACAATACAGGCATACTGATGCAACTAATTAAAAAAAGTTGGACAGCCTTTAATGACGTAATGGAAAACATGTTTGTCACCAGGGCAAAGAAAGATTAGAAACCATCTCTCTGACGTCTGATAAAGATAGTTTTAGCGAACTTCAAATGACTGGAGTTTGGTTGTTTATTAATATCCCTGAAGGATTTTAAGGTATTGACTTGATGTCTTGTGTCCAAAAGGTATTAAGTGTTCGAGTTATTTAAAGTAGTACTTTCTCTTGTCCGAAGGGGTTTGGGAGCGTGTCTACACAATCTAAGATATGCTCTCCTTCTTGTACGGTTAATGTAGCTCGTTTGAAAGGTGCAAGTAAATTTATAGACACGGAGGCGAGCAAATGAACTTCGCTTAATTTATCCTTATTATCGGTGTTCGTTTGTTATGTAACTAACTGTTTCTAACCCTTTGATCTTGTGTTACTAACAGTGTTATAAAATATTCTTCCACATAAGATATACATTTATAATATTTTATTTAGTTTGTTAAGTTTATATATATCGTTGCTACATTATATGAATGTGTGATCACAGCAACTTCTAAATAAACACTTTCATGTACATAATTTAAACCCACTTTGTAATTTTTACTTTTAAACACTATAGGTTGAAGGCAACTAACGAGAACTGGACGAAATAAGATAAATTCATGTTATCTTCTTTAAAATTTTTGTTCTTGCTCTTTCCAAAATCATAAAAAAAACTATATGCATAGTTATTTCTACACACCACTGAATCTATTCGGTTACTTGTCATCTTACCCTATATCTTTGCATAGAGTTAATCGTAGATAACGACAACTTTCATATTTTAAAGAAAGACAATATTAATATCAAGGCAGTAGAAAAGTAAAGTTTATTTTCAAGAACATCTGACAATGCCATGGAGGGAGGTAAACGTAAGACTTAAATAATCTGGCGACCCAAATAAAGTACTACTGTCAATTGAGACTTTGGTCTTCGAAAAGTTTTTGTGGGACTTCATCCTGAAAGAAAATCAAATGAGACTAATAGAAAAAACATACCTCTTGAATTATATCTTGTGCATCTATCACAGAAAGAATTTCTTTTGCCCCTGTCTCTTGTACTTCACCAGCTAGTAAATATTCATCCAAAACAAAGTAAGCTTTTTCAAAATGGAAGATTATGTCCAATTCACAGACCTTAAAAATACAATTTTGTTAAATACGAATTACATTTCCAAAATATTTATCCAGAATCTCCACGTAACGATGAATAATCTCCAATGTAATCAATTCATTATCTGTCTGATCAATAGCGCACACAAAATAGAGACTAGCATATCTGTTAAAGAAAGTGTAGTTGCAATAAATTACAAACACACCTTCTGTACACAATCTTAAGGTCTTGCCATTCTAGAAACGAGCACATTTTTGGTTTCCTCGCAAAGACTAGAGAAATAATTTCGCGTAAATACTTTTTCTTTTCTTTCTCCGTATAAGAGCTATACCATTTTTGAAGTCGCACTTTACCTTGACGACTAAACAATAACATAAAATTTATCTACACAATTCGTAACGCAAAACCATGATGTACACTAACCATAGTGCGAATATACAGTGCAGGATTTAAGATGAAAATAATTCGGGAATAAATGCAGCATAAAATGCTTACAGTATCTGGAAAATAAATAGAAGCAAATATTAATTTATTGTCCACATGACTGATATTACTAAAGAAATAAAATATTTCACTGTAGAAAGGTTGAAGTATACAACCAATCCATTTTAAGAAACAGGATATCACGGTAAAATTACCATTGGATGATCATAAAGGTAGAAAATTAGGTTTTTACACCTATGTATCTAAGATAGTACAATGCTAATCGTCTAAGATGCATTTATTCAAGTTAAAAACTACATGAGATATGAGTAATAATAATAATAATAATAATAATAATAATAATAATAATAATAATAACTAAACTACCACTCATCAGGTTAAAGCCTTAAATTAATTAGTGAAACAGTAACTCACTAATCCTCACATATTACACAAAACATTATAACTGCTAGTATAGGAATGCCGACTGTGCATTATATTTTAATAAAATCAGTAAGCAGGTACAAGAAAAGCGTTCTACTACGAGATTTCTGTACACCAAGTTCGTCTTACATGACTTTACCTAAATGTATTCATGGGAATACTGTGTAAGTTTTATTATTGATTATCCGTGAGTACAAACACTAACACTACAAAAAAGAAACGACTCTAATTTTACCAGACTTAAAGGCTAATTTCATTCCGGAATAGCAGCGCCTTACTTCAAATATCCAAACTTTCCCCCATTATAACACATGTGATGAATACCAAATATCCCTATGGTAACAATACCCATATATAAAGGCTTGGTTTTCTATACTTTATTTTCTTTTAGATTACTACGAACCTGAGCGGAATGGAAGCACAGAAAGATAGAAATAAAGACAAACTAACTCAAATATTACCAAATAGGTACTTGTGAAATAGGACATTTGTTGAAAACTCAACATTAAACTACGATGCCTCCGACAAACCATTCTAATTAGTATACATTAGTTGAAGTTTTTCATATGACAGCTGTTTCAACTATATGTGCACTGCAAAAGTGACATTTATTTTCATGTTATTATTTCAACTATTTCTCATCTGGGTACCGAAACCTAAAGTAGCTTTAGCTGAACTTCATTCGTCAAAGTAAAGGATTTTTCATTGGCTGATTTTTTCCCGCACTTTATATGTGGTTACATTACATGGAGTAAGAGTAAGCAAATGCTGTTACTAAAACTCAGTGCACTGACTGACTAATACAGACACAGCATTGTTGGTAAGGTTTTACAATTATTTATAGATTATATTGCAGAACTTTAAGGTTATGAAATATAAAGTCGCCAAATGACAGTGTAGAATTATCACTATTCTTATCATGAATAATGCTGAGACCTTGATAATCGTGACTTATGGCAAATATGTATGGTGTAACAACCTGTATCTTAGAATGCGAACAAAAAGTTCTATGATCCTTAATAGTAAAATGAGTGAAATTCTGTCCTAGAACATTTCAGATCAATATTTGCAGCAAACGTTTGGCTTTTCAAATCTTCAATGCACTGACTGAAAAGTTTTTTCCAGGAAAATAATGCAAGATTGTTTCTAAATTTACTCTCATACTGCAAGTAGGGAAATAGACTAAGCGTATACGCTTACATATATATATGTTGCCCAGACTGTTACTCAACCGATACAGGAGGGAAAACTGGGAAAGTAATATATGCTTAAACTACAAAAGAATATAAATACTTAGGTTGAGTTGTTTCGCATTTAGCAAACATCGTTCAGAGAGAACTACAATCATGGAATATGATTGCTACCAAGTAAAGGACACGAATCTTATTAAAACATTGGGTGGTATATTTTTCAGCCTAATTAGGCTGATGGACCTATTATCATTAAAATCCAGTTGATGAACATCATTTTAGAAAGTTTTTAAGACAGTGTTGAACCAGTAAATTAGATGACTTATACAAATTAATAACTAAAGGATAAACCCCGAACCACGGTAACGTGTACAACACACCAGTTTTGTGTAAATAAATGTACTGTTTAACATGTCTCAAATAAATACGGAAACATTGAAGAATCGAAAGTTAAGTAGACAATTTTGCGTGCATTTAGGCTAAAAGTAGACAATTCAGCGACATTTAAAACAGAGTGACATAAAGAAGAAAATCCGCATTATTTCCCCAGATATGCGAAAAGGCAGACATTTTATCGCGTTTCCCTATTATTTCTCATAAATTTCCCGACTCATTTTCTCCTTTATTTTCCCTCTGTTTGCATTTCCCTCTTTTATTGTTTGTTCGGGTTTCAGGATTTTTATGACACTATATCGAATAATACATTTTGCTTTGAAAAAACGAAGGAATTTAAGTGTTCCGGTTACAAATTCGTAAAGTATGTTAGTAATACATATTTTCAGTAACAACTGGATGAACTAACCGGATTATGGCACTAAGATGATCATTTCGACTACCGCGCCTAAGGTCGGATTTAGATACAGTACAAAATGCAGGTAGTTACGCCCTTGTAGGTCAAACAACGAGCGTGCTATTGGAGCGTAAGGTAAACGAATGAGCAACTTCAATCCTAAGTTGCAGAACGCAACCTAATTTATTTTGAACCATGCTCAAATTCTGAAAATTTCGAAAACCATTCAAATCAGTTGTTTAATTAATCCAACTACAGTAATAGCTGAAGCACAAATCACTTCGAACCCCACATCCGCCCAAGCAACAAATGAAGGGAAAATAAAGGCTAAAAAGGGGAAATGAGGGGGAAATGTGTTGGAAAATAAAGAGGAAAACACTCCAAAATGTCACCTTTTTCGCCTATCCGGGAGGGATAATGCGGATTTCCCCCTTTTTGTCGCTTTTTCACTGAATTGTGTTCTTTTGCCTACATATACGCCTAACTGTCTACCTTTCGCCTAAATGCACATCGACTCGCCTATTTTTTTATCCAAGTTTTAAAACCTAATTGGCATAACCCCGAAGGTCTCCTATGTTCGACTTTATTCCTACAACAAACCACATATCCGCGCACATACAATCAGGAAACAGATACGATACATAAATAACCTAATATTTAATACATTTCCAAACTCATTTTTAAAATTTATTCTTGCTTGACGGCTGATATCGATTTACGGTAGAAACCATCACCATAATGAATCAATCTGTTAGTGTATTATTAAAAACAATCTACCATCACAAGTACCTTACAGAACATCAGGCATTCAGATTCCTGAAGTATTCCGAACAATTGTCAGTATTTACTAATTGGGCCGCCTGATGAAACCTAACATAATTTATGCGTGAATAAATCCTTAAAGTCTGTCATGTTATGACTCTACCCATGCTGCGAATTAAACTATCTAACACTAGTTTCTTACTTAATCCCCTAGCACATGCAATACTTTTTGACCAAACGCAGACACTTCGGGCCATCCCTGATGATAACCACTCGATTTTGCGTGCGCACGAGACCACATTTATGTGCGTCATACTGCACATCTCTTATGATAAGCAATCAACTGAAATCCCGTAAAATTTAATGCATCAACAATTGTTGAAATATAAATTCACGTTCCTTCATTTCTGACATTTGATTCAATTGCCCTTAAGATCTTCGTATAAAAAGTTTTGAAAAATGGTGTTGCTGGACAGGGTGCAACCGTATATTCTCTAGTCACCTTGCCTTATGTTTGGGATAGGCGATGCCACAGGTGTTCGGAGTTTGACAACGCTTTAACCACTGACACATTCTACTATAAATCATACCCACCAAGTAAAATCAAACGATACAAGCGGGGAGGTTTGAAGATACATTAGATAGGCCATCAATATATCGAAGTTTGACTGATCTAGACTGGCTAGCGATTGCGGGGGATTTTGAGCAAAGCGTCCCCACTCGTGATCTGCAGCGTATCCATGGCCTAGTGCCCTTGGCTAGGTGAGTTCATTAAAACTAATGTGGTCAGCATCCAATGTCGAAGACTTACAGAACTATTTATTTTGTGGATTTATTTAACGCTAAATTGCAATATGGGACAAGACGTTAGTATACAACTGTCTTTAACGTAAATGATAAACCATTATTGTGGATGGACCACGATAGAGCTTCCATAAACGTTACAATCAGTTATGACTGTTTGGTCGCAAATGTCAATCATAAATCTTGAGAAAGTTCAACTAAAATATAAATTATTGGTCACAGATCTAATCAAGGGTCCTGGTTTTCGTAAATCTGTATGTTACTGGTAATGTCGTGTTGCCATGGTCTTGTGAATGCTAGGTTAAGACATCTAAGCTGCTTTCCTTCGTCTGAAATTCCAGTTGAAATATAATCAGTGTATGTTTAAAAAGTCAGTACCATGAAATACATAACTGATGAGCACCTCCGAGGTTTACTGAACCTGTCAGTCTAAGTGGTATACATCTAGATTTGGAAAGGTAAAGCGGAGTAAACAGCTGTTCTGACAATATATTCTTCATACACTGAGGTTGTTTAACCCCTTTAAAAGACTGATATCAAAATGCGAACGCAATTTTCACGGTATATGCTGACTGATAATGTGCGTTGAGGAGACGCTGTACGGTTGATTAACATCAAATTATTCATCATTGCCAGCATTTTACGAATCCCAATCCCTATAAAGACCGAATACAGTAATAAAACTGTTTGGCTGATCGAGTGACAGTCTTTTCCTGAATCCAACACGCGACTACATCCGTTCTACTTAACTTCATCTTCAGGAACTAGGGGGCGGGCTTTTAACAAAAAAGGCTATCTTGTAGTTATGACGTGACGTGTAACAATGTTTCAGATATATGGTTATCATGGCGTTCATTTTCTAAGTTCAAGACACATTTTGAAAAATGCGGTGGAGCATAACTTCGTTCATAGTGGATAAAATGTACATTTAGTTAAAATCCCATCTCAAATATGTTTTGTTTTTACAAAATGATGGACATTACCTTTCAGATGACTGACAACGAAGTGAACCTTCGTCCTGACATCAGAGATTCGTAGCAGGCTCATTTTTCACTAACTACAGTTGCTTATAACACGTGTCAGCTTCCCAAAATGGTCGACTAAAATTTCATCTAGTGAAATATCTGAACACATCTTAGGGGAGTCCATTGTGTTCTACCACGGGATGTTAATTAACTTTATGATGCAGCTACTTTTAATTTTGAATGGATATAAGGAGCGCTGTCGATTCGAATGGTGTTAATGTGAAACCTCACAATATATACGAAACAATATTCAACAAGTAAGGTTTATTCAGACAACGCCTGGAGCCCCTTTGTGGCTTCAGCCAGTCGGAAGCCCGAATAACTGAGCAGGGTTCGAGATAAAGTTAGCGACCCCATCTCGTAGAAAACTAACTCGTCAAAAAACGCTAACCAGAAAAAATTATTCAAACCACTCAAACTCTGCCCTGGGAGTCAGAAGATCTTCATTTACAAGAGTTACGATGCCTCATGATGAGAGCCGAGTTCCTTCGAAAGCCACGAGCCTGATGCCCTTCTAACAACCAGAGCAACCATTTATTTAGGTACATGGAATACTCGTACATCGTAAGAGACTGGAAGAGTCTTCCAAATTGCTGCAGAAATGAGGAGATACAACCTGCAGTTGCTTGGGATCAGTGAAACACATTGGACGCAACTTGAACAACAACGAGTAGCTTCATGGGAGCTTCTGTCACACTCTGGTCATGAAAAAAATGCCACACATACACAATCAGTTGCATGATGCTGTCCAAACAATCACAAAATGCACTTATAGGATGAGGATCTCATGGATCAACAAACTTTCCTTCAAAGAAAAGACAGACTACGTTTCAGTGAACGTCATCCAAAGCCATGTGCCTACTAACGATTACAATGAAGACGCTAATGATAAATTCTACAATAGGCTGCAGTCAATCGTCGAGAAATGCCCAACAAAGGACCTTACCATTCTGATGGGAGATTTCGATGTCAAGGTTGGAATGGACAACACTGAATATGAAGACATCATGGGACGACACGGACTGGGAGAAAGGAACAAGAGGGATTTGCAAACCTATGTTCCTTCAATAAACAGATCATTAGCGGCACTATATTCCCACATAAACGCATTCACATAGCCATATGGACTTCACGAATCACACTACACAAAATCAAATCGACCATATCTACATCATTAAAAAGTTCAGGAGGACGATGGAGGATGTGAGAACCAAGAGAGGAGCTGATATAGCGTCAG